TTTTGATAGCGTTTACGAGAGAGGATAGAAGTGAATGAGCTTTTAAAAAACACCTGTAATTATCGGAAATACTCTTAGCAAATGTCTTCGATAATGTTTTTTATTTATTTTGGTATTTCCAGGTGACTGGAATTCCCCATTTTCAGCAATTTTTTCATGCCATTTTCTCGAAAAAACCTTTTTGTACGCAACTGTATCTTTAATCAGTTACGTTAATGATAGTTCAGATGAACAAACGAAAGAAGACAGTAACGGCGCGGGTGATGAAAATGAAGAGGACTGGCAGCGGCATCAAAAAAATGCGAGTAAAAAAGCAAAGCAATTTAATTTCGAAGAAATGTTGCAACAGACAAGACAACACGCAGTGGGATCAAGAATCGGCGCTTATGAATCCACCAGTTCAGACGACATTCACTCCAGCGACATCCACAAGCACCAAAAAGCTTGTCAGGCGGAGGAACAAGCTAGCGAACAATTCAAAGAATTACATGTCAGAGATACTAAACGATTATCTGGCGATGTATGTGTTGGATATTTCTATGAATTTTATTCCATTATCTTCAAAAGTTTTGCTAACATTTTAGTTACTTTTGGATGTTAAAATATTCTTGTTAAAAAGGCTTTTTTCGTCAAAACTCAGTGTTTTTGATTCTTTCACGGTCAGGTTTCGGTATTCATAAAGTTTGGTTTTATTGCCTAGACGATTGTATCAAAAATTCAGGATGGTAGCGACGAAACTGAGCCTGCATCATCCTCAACACAATTGAAGCAATCATCTGCGAATGGTGGTAGGTGTTCGAATGTTTTTCAGATTCACCTCCTGGAAATATTACCTTTTGAAACATCTAACATGCATCATTTCACTTCATTCATTGCACTTCTGTAACAGCCTCTGATGATCTTTCTCTTCGTTTTCATTTCCGCTGCGAAGGAAAACATTTTACTTTTCAGCCAAAGAGGATGATTCAGATGATGAGTTTACCGTACCGCTGCCGGAAGGTTTCAACCGGATCGAAAGCCCGGTGCCCAAGGCAGTTGAGAGCAGCGAGAAGCCAATTGAAGTGCCCAATGATGACGATGAGTATGTAGACTTCAGCGAAGGGGTGAGGCTCTTTTCCAATATCCTGCTGGAACTCTATTACAGTTCCACTTCTACTGCCCCTTCAGTTTTGAAACACTAATTTCCATCTGACAGATTGTCAGAAATTCAAGTCAATTTGTGTGTTTCCAGCGTTTATTATTATCGTTCAAAGCATTTCATAGCTGTCTCGGAATAGCATTCATAGGTCATCAGATCCATAATGAAGGATTCGATACGCTAGAATGCATGTGCTCAAATATAAGTGTTAGTTCTTCATAGCAAATATGACGGTCGTTTGCATTTTCAGGTGCCTATAGTGGAGCTGATTCCAGCCGCTTGTGAAGCTCAGCTGAAACATGGAGCAAAACCGGTTCGTATTTATCATTCCCGTTTTTTCATTATGAGATGAACAGTGTGGATCATACCGACAGTTCATGTTTCTCAGTTTAGGAAAAATGTATCTACAGAAGTGCGTAGCTGTTCAGATTTATTTTAGCCGACAAAATGCAATGGAAAGTTGAGGTGAACCCTTCAATGTGTTAAGTGAATTTTGTTACAGATATCAGCATTAGCGTTTGATCATCAAGGTACACGTTTCGTCACCGGTGGTTATGATTATGTGGTGAACATTTTCGAATTCCAAAAAATGGATCTCTCTCTGAAACCGTCAAGGGAACTGACACCATGTGAATGGTTTGCCTTCGAAACATTCTCAAATCCTTTTGAAATGAATCTTGAGAGCACCCATGAGTCGTGTTTAACTAGCAACTATCTTTGGTATCAATAATCTTAAAATAGACAACGGAGTATATCCAAAATAGCTTCTTTGTAACTACGAAGGACGAGAATCCATTGATCGAAACAGAATCATTTAATTTTATGTGTTTATAATATTTTATCCCTATATCCTTGTACTTTCCTTATATTCTTGTAAAATGTCGTACTTTTGTTGATTTCAGTCACATAATCAACGACCTTGCGTTCAGTGCTAATGGTGAGCATTTATTAGTGGCCAGTGGTCATGCACAACTTAGGGTTTTGGATCGACAGGGCAAGCAGTGGGCTGAGACTATCCGAGGTTGGGATGTTATCAATTATTTTGCAAGATTTTAATTTCAGTTCGTTTCTTGATTCAGTAAGCATTGATGGGATTCTGAAGCATTCAGTAAGCATCGACTCTGAAATAATTCACTCCATTGAGAAGTTTTCAACGAGTTATTCGAGTGATTAAGAATTTTGGTTGCCAGATAACCTGATATAACGAGAAATTGTACGATTATCGATGCAGGTGATCAATATTTGGTCGATCTGTCGAATACGAAAGGACATACTGGCTCGGTGAACGCGTGTTGCTGGCATCCATTGATCAAAAACGAATTTTTGACCTGTGCTGATGACGGGTATTCAGTTACTTCTGATTCCATAAATTTTATTTAAGAAAAAATTCATTTCTTTTAGAATTTGAAAATTTTATGTTGGAAAGATTGTTCAGCTCATTGAATTGAACAACTCAATGCAGTGTTAGTGTGCGTTCAGTTCGTTAATTAATAAATTGGTGAAGTTTATTCTGATATGAAACATGCCAGGCACTTTTGAGCTTGTTGGAAATCGGTCAAACAGCTGATTAGCTTTTTACACCTGTAATCATGAGATATTAGCCTCAACATTCTAATTAATGTCATGTACCAAAAAACCTGAGTTCATCCGAGAATAGAGTTTATATGAGGAATCCATCAGCGAACTTGAAAGTGATCATTTTCATGCTGAAATTATTCAACACATTATCTCCATTTTCTATTTCACGTAAAGATTTCGAGAGGTAAAATGGAATTCAAGTATCGGTCCAATAACCGGAGTTATTTGAGGACATTACGCATTTGGTCGTTGGACGATTTCAAGGAAATTACTCGATGTATCAATAAGCAGCAGAAAGTGATCAAAACGAAGAACGCGGGTGGCAAAAGGACAATCCCAATGACGTGTACGTATTCGAGAGATGGTAAACTAGTGGCAGCTGGCTGTCAGGACGGCTCAATTCAGATCTGGAAACATGGACATCTTTATGTATGTGATTTTTTTTTTTTTGAAATTATATAATCTGTTTTATTTGTGATGTCTGATTGATGTCATATACCAGAAAGAGTAAAATAATGATTGATTCTGAGTTATTGTGGATGTGAGCAATAAGTCATTTGATACGAATTGAGTTTACTAGATATGTGCTCAGTTGTCGATTATGTGATAAGCTCCAACGGAATTGAGCTGGAAAAAGATCTGAGGCAGGCTATCATCATGTCATGATTAGTAAATATGACCTGGCACAAGCAACTTATCAAAAATATTCGATCGAATTTCAGGTGAACACAACCTATATGAATAGGAAGGCTCACACTCGTGCTGTAACATCCATCCAGTTTTCACCCAATGGACAGCAACTACTTTCGAGATCGCGTAAGCCACACCGTTATGAAAATCGTTTTCTTGTACCAAAAAAATATCACTCAAGACAACTGTCTCGATTCTGATTCTAATTATAAATTAAATGAAACATTCTAAACATGATCATTTTCACGACGATTATTCTAATTGTAGATAAAATTTTCAGTGGATGGAACGCTGAAGCTATGGGAACTGAAATCATTCAAACAGCCAATTCTTGTGAAGGAGAATCTCGAATGCGATTATCCGAAGTAATTTTTCAGTTCTTCTTTTTGGACAAATCCGTTTTCTCTCCCAGATTTTTCTTTCGAATAAATTCTTTCCTAATGCTTTTCTCTTTTTTGACGTGTTCTTATGATCCTGATGAACAGCCATATGATTATTTCAGTACGGAGTGTGGTTTCTCACCACACGGTGAAGTCGTCTACACGTGCACATCAACGAATCCAGAGGAGAAAATCGATGGATCAGTGATGTTTTTTGACGCGAGCAATTTCGAATTAGTCTATCGCATCAAATTCCCGAAAATTGTTCGACTTTGAGTCTTTTGTTTCATTTTGATTGTGTTTTTACAAAAATGTTTTCAGTGGTGTAAAATTTTTGAAAATTTGGGAATGGATGTTTTCGATGGATCAATTTGTTCAATTGATAAAGAGTATGTTTGTGATTTCAGAGTTGCATTCGTATGGTATGGCATGCAAAAATCAATCAGATGCTAGTAGCATTGAGTGACGGTACAGTACGGCTTTACTACGATCCAGCAAACAGTGTTCGCGGTGCGTTGGAGTGTGTCAAACGTCCGATGCGGCGGCAGAGACAACAGGAAGTTGTGCGCGAGGAGATGCTTCTGTCACGTTAGTTCATCCCTTATTGGTCTCATCCATCGCTTGGGATGTCTGGTGGTACTGGTGTATTTTGTTAAGATCAGATGCAGTCTCTCAAATTATAGCTGTAGAGATCACGGAAATGGTATCTATTCAAAACTATTCGTAGTTTCCATTTTAGGAAATTCCGTCGTTGACCTTGTTTAATAAATATTAGGGATGACGGGTGTAGAACTGCATCTAGTAACAATAGTATTTGATGTTATATACGGTGATTTAAGGAGATCTGTTCGCTTAAAGGGTTGTGATTAGTAAGAACTGGTTAAGTAAATAAGTTGATGTTTTTGATGTATTCCTCCGATGACAGTGTGCGATTTGTAGCGTTAACACTGGAGATGTTCCAACCACGTGGTGAGGAAGGCGAAGAAAAAGAAGTAACTGCATGGCGATTGAGGAAATATCTCCGAATGCAAGACAACAAACTAAGACCGGAATTCCGTAAACCAGCCGATATGCCAATGAGTGGTCCAAGTAAGTTATTGTTGTTGTAGTGCCGTTAATGTTTTGAACTTCGAAGCATTCTGAATTATTTCGAGGCAGGGAGGTTGATTCATTTCCAATTGTAAAATTACGTGTTATTACTCAGTAATTTTCAGGTTGTGGTGGACGGGTGGCGGCATCTGGTGGTACGTTGCATTCATATATTGCGAAACAGGTTGGTACGAAGCGAAATCGTGACTTCCTCAAAGATACGGATGTACGCGCAGCTATTCTACGACATGCAGAAGAGGTTTGCTTTCTATTGATATTGTAATGAATTGTTGAGAGAACCAGAGTGTTGTATGAACAGAATTATTTCCACAAAAGTTTGAATGCTTGAAACGAATCACTTAGTCGTTTGAGATTCTAGTTCTGATTCTCATGTTGATAATATGAGTAACTGGTAAGAAAATTCATGATCGTATGAGGCCTCAAGTGATACGTTTCAGGCTGAGAAGCATCCGTACTACGTTACGAAGGCGTACCTGAAAAACCAGCCAGTTGCAATATTCCAAGAGAAAACGACAGCACCTGAAGAAGAAGAACCGGACAATGAGTTGCAACCGCTTTACAAAATACCCAAAAACTTGTGATCCGTAAGCGACCTCATTGTTCATTCACTTCACACCACCCGTTGATTCATTTAATTTTGTTGTGATCACGTTGTTTGTCTTATTCTCATTGATCATATGGAGTAGAGGTTCCACTATAATCTGAGAGACAATATTTTGAGGTACGCGAACTTGAACTGGTGTATTTTCTATGTATTCGTCTTGTTAATTTCGTAAACGTCATCAATATATCGAGGCTAAGAGCACATGAGGAAGCGATTGAAAAGCTTTAATATAAGGCGTTGTNCTGTCAACTTGAAAATTTCTCGTAGACAAATTTAAATGTGCAAACCAAAATGATTCGTAATCATTAATTTGTGCCATGCCTACTTATGGTTGCTGATAATTAGTAAAATTGCTTTTAATAGGAATATTGATATGTTGATGGTGAATGTGAAGTGCTCTCATTGACATGAAGTGAAATTGTTTGGAAAAGAGAATGGAAGTATTAGTATAATCAATTGTTTGAAATTTTTGCCCAGTTTCTGAGATTTGTGCATGGATCGTTTTATTTTGATAGTTTTCGGTAACCTATGTGCTTGCAATTAACTTCGTCCGTTTTATTTTTAATGTAATCATTATTAAGCGTTTGTTGGGCATGCGAAAATGTTCGTCTTATGTTATTTCATCCCGAAATAAAAATGGTTCCGATCTCTTCGATACTGTTTGGTTAAGTGTGAAATGGTTTTTTGTTTGTCCGTTTGAGCGGCCTCAGATGTTCTGATTAATTACGGTGCAATGAGAGAACGTTATTGCATTAATAAAATCTTCAGTGCAATTGTATGCAAACGCGTTCCAGTCGAACGAATTTATTTAATTTTGGTTGATTTGACGACATTTACAAGGATTTGTAGTTGGGAAATACATTTAGCAAATACTATTAACTGATTCCTACTGGTCGGTCGTACGATTCCAAAATTGGTCTATTTCGAGAAAAAAGGCCGAGTAGATATGAGGTTTAAGGGGTGAAAGTGGAGGGGAGGTGATAGAAAACCAGTGTTGGGCAATAGCGCGCTATTCCGCTAATAGCGAATAGCGGAATAGCGATATCGGAAGTTCGAGTGAATAGCGGAATAGCGATAGCGGGAACGGCGCTATCGCTGTTCGATAGCGAGCAACTTCCG